ACCCACCCAGCCATACCACAAAGTGTGCTCCACCAGTCCTGGGGCAGATCCCAAAGGCAGTCAAGTGAACACCAGCCTCGCCATCACACTGACCAGCTCTTCTTCTAGTGGACATTATTTTAACGATGAGGTAAGACTTTGCATTTGATTCCAGGCAATCAAAGGCTTGGGATCAAGAGTAGGAATGTCTGTGAGGATAACGTCAAAATACTTGACTTTGCTAGACCCTGTGTGCACTTGTTGCCAGTGGCATCTGCCTGCATTTGCCCCGTGTCAGTGAATCATGAATGTTCTCTCGCAGATTCGTGTCCTTGTGCAGGAACGAGGGGCTCAGGACAAGCGAATCCAGAGTATGGAAACGGAGTTGGAGAAGATGGAAGCAAGGTTAAATGCTGCAGTCAGGGAGAAAACATCCCTCTCTGCAAGTAATGCTTCCCTGGAAAAACAGCTTATGGAATTAACCAGGACTAACGACCTGCTGAAATCTAAGGTATCTGAACCTCATGATAGCACTTAAAACTGGATAGTGACCGTGGTTTTTTTTCTCCTCACAGTTGTTTGTATAGTATTAGCTCTACCTTAGTTCTTTTCCTTCACTAAAAGTACTTTAAGTATTCAAATAGGAATACTTGTATATTCAAATAATTCAAATAGGAATTATTGTATTTTTTATTAGGGTGTGGCACATAAGAGGTTATAAACAAGTTACTTTCTGGTTTAGTGTCTTGACATTTTCTCACCACTCAATTTAATTTAAATTTTAAAAAATAATAAAAATTTAAAAAGTAAATATCACCAGTAAAAATCCTAGAATTTACATTGTAAAGTCACTTTAAAGATCTATCACTAAAATATGTAGTAACGGAACATCACTTCTGGCTTCCCCCTCAAATCCTTTTGGGAATGAAGTGGGACATACATCATTGGAGTAGCTTTGTTCAATAAATAGCACTTATCAATATAGATACTAGTAGATCTTCAAGAGCGGGACATGATCCTGTTGTGTTTGTTATAGAAGTCCAGGAAGGATATGAGTCACCTTGCAGTTTTATAAGAGCTCTTATTTTAGGGCCTGTGCTGTGTATAGTCTTTGCTTAGAAAAAGAGTAAAAATGCATCCAAATCAAACAGGAGGAAAGGAGCACATTTCTGAGTCCCCCTGGGGAAATTCTGATTTAGTAGGCCTGGGGTAGACTGTAGTCTACACATTTCAGACTTATCAGGTGATTTAAGATTAATTTTGTTACCTACCAAATATATTTAATAAGGCCTTTCAAACAGGCTCATTGTAATGGACTTTCTAGAACATAAAGGCAAGTGACCACCCAACTATTTCAAAAATAAAGCAGAAGATCACATTAAGGAAGAGGAAGGACAAAAGCAGTAGTACTATCCAATTAGGGATTGTGTTCATCGAAAGCTGTTTTCTCTGCCAGAAAACACTTCAGGCACTAATACTCGCAATGCCATGCAGTGAATCAGTGTTTAAGTAATTTTATATATGACTTCACAAAAAAAGCTTTTTGAATTTTTTTTGTGTTTGTTGGAATCAGTTTTCTGAAGATGGTAACCAGAAGAACATGAGGATTCTAAGCCTGGAATTAATGAAACTTAGAAACAAAAGAGAAACAAAAATGAGGGTGAGTACAAGTCTGGGGAAGTACACCTGGATCTGGGGCTGTAAACCACATCTCACATCCTAACACAGGTCATCTTCTCTGTAGAGTATGATGGCCAAACAAGAAAGCATGGAGATGAAGCTGCAGGTCACTCAGAGGAATTTCCAAGAGTCTCAGGGGAAGATAGCGGAACTTGAGGGGAAACTGTAAGTGACCGAAAGGAAAGAGAAAAATTAGGTGTAACTAATTTTTTTTTTTTTTTCATTTGCCTACTACCTAAAAACATAGACTGCATCCACATCAACGAGCTGCTGTGGAGTGTTTTAGTACATGTGGACACTGTATCGTGTTTCAGTCAGGTTAAACGTACACGTTTCTTCAGATGTTTATCAATTCTTTATGAAGAAACCCTTCAGAATCCTTCTGACTTTTTAAGTAATGCTTATCTAGGTTGTTTAAGTAATTGTTCTCCACTGTCACCTGTTGCACAGTAGCGTGGCAGAACTTCTCATTGCCATCTAATCGTAACAGCACCAGTCAGCCCGCATCTGCCCATCCATCTCACCTCCACGTTTCCCGACCTGTGGTAACCACCATCCTGTGCTCGCTCTGAAATTATTTTAATTCCAGCATCAGTGAGATCACACACTTTATATGTCTGTAAATAATGTGTGTTTTATAATAAGTGAGTTTATTGGAATCAGTTTTCTGAAGATGATAACCAGAAGAACATGAGGATTCTAAGCCTGCAATCAATGAAACATTAAACACAATGATTTCTACTGTTATCTGTGTTGCAAATGACAGGATTTCATTCCTTTTTATGGTTAAATTGCATATATGTACCGCTTTCTTTTTCTCCTGAAAGTATTTATTCATCTGAACAGCTTTGCAAAAATAGCGCTCAATCTGCATAGCATGTACTTGAAAGCTAGTGTTTAATGGTACACTGTTACATATTTTAAGTGACTTCAGTTCCATGAGAATGATACTCCGTTAAGACCACAGGGTAGGGACTGGTGAGATGGCTCAGTGGTCTAAAGCACCTACTTAGAACAAGCTTAGCAAAGCACAGGGACCGCGGTTCAATCCCCCAGAACCACGTGCCAGCCCTCCCCGCCCCCTGGTGGGCTGAGCTGGCCACACACACACTAAATAAATAAATAAATAAATAAAAGACCACAGGGTATCTGGAAAATTAATGAACAGGTACAACTTTGTATCTTATCAGAATTCTTTTTTTTTTTTAATATTTATTTATTTTTATTTATTACATTTATTTATTGTGTGTGTATGGCCAGCTCAGCCCACCAGGGGGCGGGTCTGGCTGGCATGTGGTGCTGGGGATCGAACCGCGGTCCCTGTGCTTTGCCACGCTTGTTTCAAGTAGGTGCTTTAGACCACTGAGCCATCTCTCCAGCCCCATTATCAGAATTCTGATAACCTCTGCTTACTAATTCTGACTTTGTTTTATATCTAGTCTTTTGCTGTTACATAATCATTTCTGTTATATCCGACAAGAGCCTAAACTGATCAGAAGCACCCATGTAATTCTGGGAATCAGTACCCAGTCAGCCAGCAGAAAGTACCGCTATTCCCTGCTTTCTCACTGTACCATTTTTTTTTTTTTTTTAAATACGTCTGTTATCAGTGGTGGTGGTGCTCCCCTCTAATCCTAAGAGTCAGGAAGCCAAGGCATGGGAATTGTCATGAACTGAAGACCAGCCTGGGCTTTCTTGTGAGTTCAAACACAGCCTCAACTACAGAGTGAGACCTTGTCTATAAATAAATAAATAAATAAATACCATTAGTTGATAGACATTTAAGTTGCACCTTTCTTGATTTTTGTGAATACTCCTACAATGAATGAGAGAGGGCATGGACCTCTTTAGAATACTGATTTTATTTTCATTGGGTAATGGGATTATTAGGTCATATGGTAGGGGTTTTTTTTTTCTTTTTTTAAGAAAAACCTTGTTGGGGGTGATGGTTCAGGTCTATAGTCCTAAAACTCTGGAGAATGAGGAAGGCGTTCCAGGCCGGTTTAGGCAACGTAGTAAGTTCAAGGCCAGCCTAAACTACATAGCAAGATCCTGTCTCTAAAAAACAAAAACAGAGGGAGAAGGCTATGAACTGTCCAAAATGGCTCTACTGTTTTACATCCCTACCACAAGGGTACAAGAGCACCCTTTGCTTAAATCTTCACCAATACTTGTTCTCTTTAGCACTTCAGATGATGTCCATTGTTGCTAGAATAAACTGATAATTCCCTGTGGCTTTCATTTGCATTTCTCCGATAATTAGTGTTGAGGAGAACATGGACTATGTGCCCATTGACTTTATTTTATGTGCCCTTTGACTTTTATAAGCATTTTTTTTTTTTTTTTGCTCCGAATGCCCTCAGGGGTGGTTTGGCTGGCTGGAGTGTTGTGGGGATGGAACTCCAGCAACCTGAGGCTGAAAGCTTTGCTGAAGCAGCCACTTAAAGAACTGAGCTAGGGCCAGGCCCCTTCTTTGACTTTTTTAATCAGGCTATTTGTGTTAGAATTTGGGGCATTCCTTATGAACTCTGATTATCAAAAACTTGCCAAACCCGTCCTCATGAACAACATCTAAAACCGGTTACTTTGGAGCATCAGGCAGGAGGAACACAAGTTTGAGGCCAGCCTGGCCAAGACAAGACCCTGTTTCTCAGTAAAAAATAAAGGGGTTGGTGAATACAGCTCATGGTAGCATACCCCTGGGTCCAATCTCCTGTTCCACTCATACCAAAAAAGAAAAAAGCACCTCTCACATGTATAGTATACACGTTTTCTCCTTTTCTATAGGCTGTTTCTTCACCTTTGCTACGTGGAACTTTTGTATCTTGACATAAACCTATTAGCCTATGTTTATTTCTACTTCTTGTGCTTTCAGAGTATTATCCCAAAAAATCTTTCCTATTCTGGTATGCCAAAGTATTTTCCCTATTTTTTCTTATAATATATTTTCTTATAATAATTTTTTTTTACATTAATATTGTATCTGTTTTGTTTTGTTTGCTGAACCAGGGATTGAACTCAGGCCTTTGTGCTCGCCAGGGAAGCACTTATCCACTGAGCCATCTCCCCAGCCCTTAAAATTTACCCTTTTACCTGATTTTCTTTTTTTTCTTTTTTTTTTTTTTTTCCGGAACCAGGGATTGAACTCAGGCCCTTGCACTTGCCAGGGAAGTGCTTATTCCACTGAGCCATCTCCCTGGCTGTGTCTGGTTTTACATTCAACCCTTTGAGTTGATTTTAGAGCTGCTAAAAGATACAGGGATATATTTTCATTCTTTTGCATGTAAACACCCACTTTTGCAGCACTATTTATTGGGGTAGCTGTTATTTCTACAATGCTTGTTCTTAAAATTTTGTGACAGAAATCAGTTGTCTGTAGATGCATAGATTTACTTCTAGGCTCTCTGTTGTGTCTGTTTATGCCAGTACCATGCCCTTCGGAGTAATACAGCTTTGCAGTATACTTCAAAATTGATTGGTATAGCGCCAGGGAGATAGCTCAGTGGTGGAAGAGCCTGCCTGGCACGTGCAAAGTCCTGAGTTGGATCCCGAGTACACCCACAAAATGAATAAATAAATAGATAAGTGTACTGCTTTCTGTTTTGGCCCTTCTGTCCAAGATTGCTTTCACTAGAAATACTTTGTTGTCCCATACAAGTTTTAGGATTATTTTGTCTAGTTTGGAGAATACAGTATTGACAATATTTTTCTAATTCACGAATACAAGAGCCTTTCCATTTTTGTGTCGTCTTCAGTGTTTTATAATTTTTACCTTAGAGATATTTCATCTCTTTCAATAAGTTTATCCCTAGGTTTTTATTATATAGCTACTATGAGATTGCTTTCTTGATTTCTCTCATGTTGTTCACTGTTGAAATATAACAATGTTTATTATATGTTGATTTGCTATCCTGTATTTTTGTTAAGTTCATTAATTTTAATAGTTTTTTTAAATTTTTAGAATTTTCTATGTATAAATTCATGTCATCTACAGAGAGTGACAGCTTGATTTCCTGTTTTGGAATGGTTTAAAGGCCCTTGATTTCTTTCTATTGCCTGGTTGGATTGCCTTTTTTAGGATTTGCATCATTGTGTTGAATTAAAATTGGTGAAAGTGTTCATCCTGGTCATATTCCAGGTCTCAGAAAGCTTTTAGCTTTTCACCATTCAGGAAAATGTTACCTGTGGGCTTATGATATGCAGCATGATCAAAATATACAGTGACTACCCACCTTAACAATTTATTAGGATAAAAGGCACATTGGCAGTGATTTTCCTCCAGCACGCTCTCTCACTTAGAACTCATTTATCCCTTTCGTGCCACTTGGAATGAAGCAAGTCTGGAAGCCCTCTTCTGTATCTTTATAGATGTGGCAAATTATGGCGAATGCTGCTGAGAGAAAGGCAGCTTCATGAAAACGTTAGTGTGTCCTCGTTCACCTTATTCACGGGATCTAGCACCACACTACTTTTGATGCTTGTCCAAAGTCGAAATGACCATGAAAGGTAAACATCTGAATTGACGCAGGACCCTGAGGCAGCACTGACATTGCCACTAAAGACAAAAGAGGACTTCCGGTACTGCTGCGGAGAGTGGCGAGAAGGCTGTGCGTCCACAGCCAGGAGTGTTTTGAAGGAGATTCATGGTTCCATGTCTTTCACTATAATAAGTATTCACTATGTTTTTTATCTAATTGCACCTTTTAAGTGCTTTTATTAGATTGAGGTCTTACCACTGTACTTAATTTGTCCTTTTTATCATGAAGGAATGTTGAAATTTATCAAGTGCCTTTTATATACCTGTTGAGATGATGCTATGGTTTTTGTCTTTCATTGTGTTGATGTCATATATTGTCACCAGCCAGTGTGGGTCCTTGCTCTAATGATAATAGAAATTAAAATTAAAGCGTGAGTTTACAAGAGAAAGCTGTTGTTGAGAATTAGGAAAAAAAAGGAGAGCATTAGCAAAGGAGAATAAGAAAAAAATAGGATCGGACTCCAGCTTGAGCAGCTGGAGGGGCCACTCTGATGAGGGGGCCGGACTGTCCTGTTCACAGAAGAACTGCATTCAGTTTTATGGGGTCCTATGGTGGGCTGGGGTGTCTTTAATTTCTTAGGCTTGGTTTTATAGATCCAGAGGAACTCTCAGACCTCGAAGGGAGATTCCATACTTTAAAAATTATTGGTTTTGTTTCTGATGGCTTCAGTCATATGAAGTGCTATTTTTTCTAGGACCCAGTAGGGTAGCAGTGCAGGATTTTGTTGTCAGGGTAATGCTGGTCTTGTTGAATATGTTTAAGAGAATTCCCTTCTCTTCAATTTGCAGATACAATGTAAGAATTATATCAGTTCTTCTTTAAATGACTCATAGAATTAAGCATTGTCTTCATGGATATATGTTTTTATTTGCATTAGGTAAATATCTGATAGAATTCCTGGTTCATAGGCTAGCACATGTGTAGCTTTTTTTTTTTTGCAGTACTGTAGGTTGAACTCAGGACCCTGTGCTTACCACGTGTTTATTCTACTGAGCTATCTCCCCGGGGTGTGTAGCATTTTTTTTTTTTTTTTTTTTGTAGCATTTTTAAAACCTCAAAAACTAACAAGATGTGGTGGGGCACACCTGTAATCTCAGCAGTCTGGAGGCTGATGCAGGAGAATCTTTGCAAGTTTGAGACCAGCTTGGTCTGCAAAGTGAGCTCAGGGCCAGCCTGAACTGCTTGGTGAGAGCCTGCTCAAAAAATAATAATAAAATAAGAAATAAAACTCAGGAACTATACTACTGCTCCTCCATCTGGCAAAATGTGATCGTTCCAGTTCTTCCACTTGTGCATCCTCACTTGCTGCTGTCAGCTTCTTTTGGCCTTGCTAGTGGGTGTGTTTATATTTACTGACCACTGGTATGTTGGCTACTGTGGATCATCTGTTTAAGTCTCTTGTTTCTTAAATTAGGCTATTTGAAAGAGGCAAACACGCACGTAGTTCCATTTCAGCTGTGGCACACAAGATGCTGTTTGGGTGGGCCAGGAAACCAGGACAGCTACAAAATGAGATAGTTTTTAACATGTGAGTTGTTGTAGATACTGTTTGTTGTCGTACCTTTTTTTTTCTCCAAGTATATTTGGGAAGCCTTTTCACTTAAATAAAATCTTTAGTATCCTATTTGCATGTAAACTATAATCTGAGAAGTAGGATAACAGAATGACCAAGAATTTGAACTCTGGAGCCAACCTGCCTGACGTAATAATTTCTGGTATGTATAAGCATTATGTATGATTATATAATAAACTAGTACATACTAACAGGTTTTTTAATTTTTTTTCTAGTGTTTCAATAGAGAAAGAAAAAATTGATGAAAAATCTGAAACAGAAAAACTGTTAGAATACATTGAAGAAATTAGGTAATATGAAAAGTGACCTTAAATGTGCCTTATTTTATTCAGCACTAATGAATATATCATCTTCATCACTTTGCTGTTAATCTTCCCTCTAACTAAAGAGCTGTGCTTCCCAAAATAATGTGTTCTAATGCAGTTGTGCATCCGATCAAGTGGAAAAATATAAGCTAGATATCACCCACCTAGAAGAAATGTTGGAAGAGAAGAATCAAGAAATTTTAAGCCTTAAACAGTCTCTCGAGGAAAATGTTGTTAGGTTATCTACACAAGTAGAAGAACTGAATGCTAAATGTCAGCTGCTTGGAACAGAAAAAGGTATTAAGGCGTTTGTAATTTCTTTAGATAAGTGCTACATACTATATTTAAGAAAAGTTGTGCTATGTTAAAGCACTTTTTTCATAATTATGTAAAAAACAAAAAACCTTATTCTATTGTATAGCATCTTTTAAAATTCTTATTTACCGTGTGCGTGTGTGTGTGTGCACGCGCGTGTGTAAATCAAACTCAGGGCTTCATGCATGGCAAGCAAGTGTCTTACCACCCTGCTATTCCCCAGCCAAATACCTTGCTTTCCTTAATTAAAAGTAAGCCATTGTAATTTGTGACTTCTCCACTGGGTTGTCACTTAAAACTGTTAAAATTAACTTTGCAACTTTTATTATAATCATGTAATATATGTTATATTTCGTAGTGATACAAACTTCCATTTTTTTTTCCCTTCAAAAGCAATCTGTAGGGGCTGGAGAGATGGCTCAGTGGTCTAAAGCACCTGCTTGAAACAAGCTTGGCAAAGCACAGGGACCGCGGTTCGATCCCCAGCACCACATGCCAGCCAGCCCCGCCCCCTGGTGGGCTGAGCTGGCCACACACACACACAATAAATAAATGTAATAAATAAAAAAAAAAAAAATTTAAAAAAAAAAAAAAAAAAGCAGTCTGTATAACATGCTAAAAGCAGTGCTGATGGAATATTATAGGAAACTTGGGTTATTTTTAGTTAGTGTTATTGTCTAATTACTGTATTTTTAACATTTTCCTTCTGTAGAAGACCTTGTCAACAGGAATAGAGAAAGGGATGAAAATCTAAGCGTGGAGATGCAAAATTTAAAAGAGGAGCTTATTCTTGAAAGACAAGAACATGAAAGGCTGCGACAAAAAGAATTGGAAACCGAGTCACTTCTCCATCAAGAGAAGGTAGTTAACTATAAAAATGTAAGGTATAGTAAAATAGTAGTTAATTTACAATGTAAAAAAAGTCTGTTATCTGTCATAAAATTTTCTGTATCAGAAGACCTGTGTGACACCTCTGCCCAGTTCTAATTCTAGAAGCATCCTGCATAAATAATAATTACCAGTGTGCTGAAGAGTTAGCCACAAATCTCCCTAACATGTTTACCATGGTGTGACACATAATGTGAGAACAGTTATGTGAGGTGTAGTGCTGCACACCTGTGAGGTTGAGTACTCTGGGAGGCAGACAGGATTGGCAATGTGAGCCCAGGCTGGGGAGACAGGTCCACCCAGGAGAAGAACAAGAAGAGGAAGAGGAGGAGGAGGAGCAGGAGGAAGAAGAAGTAAAACAGCAGACACAGCAAATTTCTTGTCGCATTTTCACGTTATATAAGCTAAGTAGACATTTATGTTGTCTTACAAAAAATGTCTAAGAAGAAAAACAAGATAAATTTAGGGGGCCTGGCCCTAGCTCAGTTCTTTAAGTGGCTTCCTCCACAAAGCTGTCAGCCTCAGGTTGCTGTAGTTCGATCCCCACAACCCTCCAGCCAGCCAAAAGTGAACTGAGGTCATTCGAGGAGCGAAAAAAAAAAAAAGAGATAAATTTAAAATGCTGACTACAATAAGAACATTTTATATGTCATTGAGGAAAAAAAAACTCACTAAAAGCTATGGCTATAGGATGAAGGTAGACAGTTTGCACAAAAAAGGTAATCATGAAAATATGCTCCACTCAGTAGGAGTCGAGGGAATAGAAATTTTTTTTTATTTACCAAA